CACACCCACACCCACACCTGCACCCACACCCACACACCCACACCCACACACCCACATCCACCCCATATCCACACCCACACCCACACCCCACACCCACACCCACACCCACACCCACACCCACACCCACACCCACACCCACACCCACACCCACACCCACACCCACACTTGTGGGATGTTGAGTCCAAAATTCGGTGAGGCTGAGTCTCCATTGGCGAAGAGCCAGTGAGGCTCAAGCCTCTGAGCCTCAAGGGCTCTGCCGTCCGTGCATTTTGCGACAGTGCACACCAATCATCAACGAGCTCTCTAGTCACCAAGTTATGATCATTTTATTTTAATTGAGAAATTTTGTAAAAATAATCTTTATAATCACAATAAATACTGAAGAAGCACAAGAAAAAAAATCATCATCAATCAATAGCAAATAGTCGCACAGGCAGTTACTCAAAATTTATCTACTATTCCCATTGAGTGTCCGAACACCACTGCCTGTACTATACCAGCAGCGACGCTTGTTGGTGCTGCCGAGAAAATCATCATAGCCAGAGAATAACCAATGTCCATATTAGCAAAGATATTAAACCATGTGATTACAAAGCAAAAGAATGCTGCATACAGTGCCAGAATACTGAGGCCGAATAAGGATAAGACCATAACTTTGACATTCACACTTTGTTTCCAAATGAATGAGGTTAGAATTGACATGATCACAGACAGGACTAGAACACCCAGTCCAACCATAGCTAATACTTGTACGACACGAAATTCATCGTCTGTATAACTGGAACATTTAACTTCATCCTTACAATGTTGCCATAAACTAAATGTATCACGACGTTTATCAAATGTGTATATCCATCTCGGCGATGCTATACCGAGAACGGCTAAGATAACTGCCAGTACACCAAACGTTCGCATCAACAATGTGGCAGCACGATATTCTACTTCTTTTATTTCCTGAAGACTGTAACCCAGTATCACTCCATATAGAACAGCACAGAGTACCGCGAGTAGAGCTGCACCTAAGATCAACATTAAGGAAGAGTGAATTTTTAAGTTGAGGACGAGAAAAATATTTAAATAATGTAATATTGCCGTGATTGTTAATAAGCATGCCAATAAATGTAGTACGATAATTGCCGTTTTCATCTTCCAACTTTGTAAACTGGCGACACTCGCAAGACTACTTGTGCCGAAAATTCTTACTGATGCAATTATAATTGGAATTAGACTGAGAACAAATGCACTCAATATACCCAACACCTGACTTAGATGAAATGGTTTATATTTTGTGACATCGACACAAGTAAGTTTCTGTGTGTCATTGTAGAAACATTTTCTCCATAGACCGTATGACCAATACTGAATACTTCCAGATGGATCATGTAGTGTGTCCGTCACCCAACTGTGTGTACATATACCAATGACTGCAAAGATACACGACAAGATCGCAAGAGCTAAAGCTAACCATGAGAGGTAGCTACGCTGAAGTGTTTTGCAGTGCATTCTTTTTGGATTGTATGAAGAAGAAGAAGAAGAAGAAGAAGAAATGAAGTGAAAGTATTGTGTCTAGTTAAAAGAAAATGGAACAGATAAATAAGAAGTAAGATACGATGGTTAGAAAGAATAAAAAAATTGAAGGTGAGGTGTGACCCGATGTGCGCGCATGTGTTTGTGTTTGAAGAGGAGATTTAGAGAGTGACGATGAGTCATGAAATTTATTTTAAACACCATATTTCTTTAGCATATACCGTCTGCCGACCGTTTGAACGAGAGTTCGGATGCACCCGTTCCAAACCCATGCATAGATTCATTCTTCGGAATGACTGTAACTAGTGTGATGTCGGAAAGGACGGGGGTGCATAAGACGCCAAATCGGTCCATTGCATTTTCCCTGGTGAATCCTATTGAATTTTAGATCAACGGAAAGAGAAAGTTGAGACGAACATTTTGGTACTAAATTTATGAGGTTTTGATCGAATTTTGAAGGCTAAAAGCTATAAACAAAATAACTCATTTTTGGTCATTAATTGAATAATTGATCCATGCACAGTGGATTCAATTCCATAATAAATATATAAGACAATATGGTATTTAAATTATGAATTTGATAGCTCTTGAATAGGGCTTCAATTCTATATTTAAATCATTGATTGATTATTTAGTTCCATGAGATAAAGAACCAATGCATTAAGAAGTACTATTAGTATATTTGCTAAATTTGTCGTTTATCCTTCTCTGTCAACAAAAATTTTAATTTAGAAATTGAAATGACCAAACTTCTGGTCTTGCTCATTTGATAGCTCTTTTCGAAAGCTACATGTTATGTGAGTAGAGACATCTCCTGACATAAGACGGCCATCTTTATCCCTCTATCATAGTTAGGAGATGGAACCAACCGGTGGAAGAGGAGAGAAAGAGAGAAAGAACATTCTTTGCTGCTTTTTGTTTTTGATTGATTCAGTTGTTTTGTTTTTGTGAAGAAAGAAGAAATAAAGAAAACGGGCAAAGGACCTAACAATTTGGTGCACTAGCCGGAGTTGTTTATTATTGATATAATTAGTATATGTTAACACGACAAGGTGCAAGACGACTTATTGAAACTGAATTCCATCGACTAGCCAATATTGATATTAATTTTCCTGACCGTACAACAATATATCCAATAGTTTCTCATCCAACAGAATTAATCATGGCAGAGAAAACCGTCGCAACACTTTTAAGTAAAACTTTGGAACAGACACCGAAATTTTCTGGTAAACCCGATCAAGATGCTGACGAATGGATGAAGGATTTGACTGCTACCTTTCGTATGGCTGATATGACAGAAGCACAAGCATTAAAAGTAATATCTACATTTTTGGAAGGACATCCTAAGCAATGGTTTATTGAAAATAGTACAATATTCGAATCATGGAGTGTATTTAAAGCTCAACTTATTCATACGTATTCATCACCCTCATCGAAACAATTAGCGTCTAACCGCTTAAGAACTCGCCAACAGCGACATGATGAAGCTGCTATCGAATATTATACCGATGTTATGAAATTATGCAAATTAGTTGATCCAACCATGACTGATGCATCCAAACTTGATCACGGACTCAAACCGTCCCTAATGAAAGAAGTATTACGTAGAGCTCCATCCACATCAGCCGAATTTTTAGAACAAGCACGACAAGAAGAAAATTTAGATCGTTTAGTTAATACGTCTATTCAACAAACCAATGATAGTGATACACAAGCAACAAATTATTCCAACAACTCATTATATAGATCACCACAAAATGTTGAAACTGCACACTACCAAAATTCATCACGTATGTATTATAAAGGTTATTCCGCAAACGTATACTCACCTCGAACAACATACAATCGATTTCATGATCCATCATCGTTACGTTACCCACCTCAAACTCAACAATCTTCGTTTAATGCATTGCACTATCAATCACGCCCTTTACGATGTTATCTATGTCAGAAATTGGGCCATTTTGCTCGTGATTGTAGATCTGCAAAAAACTATTAAGGGAGTCACATGATGGTAGTGAGTCCCACCCATCGCGACCATCATTATTTTCTTCATCAATACATAATACTTATTCTGTACAAAAACCACATATCTATCATCGCTTCGTTCCGTTTTTTCGTTATCGTATTAATCGCAACATAATAAAATATCCGACTTCCCTGTTACCCCCTCGCAAATATATCACAATTAACAACCCTCGACAACCGCTCATTAAATTCATCGCACAACATAATGCCGTAAATCAAAATATTAAAAAATCCAACCCGTCATTAATTTTTATCAACACTCTCATCAATGGATCACGTCTACGTGCTATGATCGATACTGGTGCCACTCATTCATTTATCACTCAAGCTGCCCTGAGCACATTATATCATTCAGTCATACCACCATGTGATCGTATAGCTCAATTAGGTGATGGTCAAACCACGCTTAAAGTAGTGGGTAAAGTTCAATTATTCTTGCAATTTCATAAAGTTTTTACTCCTTTAAATGTTCTCGTCGTCAAAACAATGAATACAGATTCTATCCTTGGCAGTGATGGGTGTAAAAAAAATGCAGCAAGAATCGATTATGAAAAAAGTCCAGTGTCTATACGTTCTTCATGTGGTCGTATATTTATTCCATATAACAAAACCATTGATTGTTTAACTTTAGATGTCAAATCAATTAATGTTATTCATATACCTCCACGTGAATCATACACTGTTCAAGCCAAAGTCGAATTATCATCAGCTGATACCGTCTACTTCTCGCCTGTCGATCCTATACAATCCGAAAAATCTATTGTCATGTCACCATCGTTGTTACACATAAATAATTATACCACATATTTAGAAGTATATAATCCACATGATTATACCTACACATTACCAATGAATACTCTTCTAGGTCGAGTAACACACACACCGTATGACATGCATTCATGTTTATTATTTGATACATCTCGTGAAACTTCGTCGTTATCGCCTCAACATCATATTTTTAATACAATTGAACTAGAACAAAAACCTTCTGAAACATCGAACACAATTGATAAATTAATTACTCATATTAAAAATGTTCAAGAGAAACAACAATTACGTTTAATATTACAACAGCACATAAAAATTTTTGATATTTCGAAAGTTACATAAGCCAACACGCATATTCAACACACTATTAACACCGGTGATAGCCTTCCGATTAGCTCAAGACCGTATCCAAGAACCATCGAACAAAGACGTGAACTTCAAGATGAAATCCAAAAAATGACACAAACAAATCAAATTCGTCCATCAAATTCATCTTGGTCATCTCCAGTCATTATTCACAAGAAAAAGGATGGTGGTATTCGATTTTTAGTGGATTATCGAAAATTAAATTCGGTGACCAAAAAAGATTGCTTTCCTCAACCAACAACGGAGGAATTATTGCATCGATTAGGTGGTCATCGTTTTTATACAAAATTAGATCTTAGATCAGGTTATTTTCAGCTTCCCATACATGAAACAGATAAAGAAAAAACAGCTTGTATCACACAAGATGGTTTATGGGAGTTCAACGTTCTTCCACAGGGTATTATGAATGGACCACCAACTTTTCAAAGAACTATGCACAATCTTCTTGGTTATGGCCGCTGGGATTATGTTATGGTTTATTTAGATGATATTTTGATATTTTCCCATACATTCAATGAACATAAACACCATTTAAACGAAATTCTGTCAATATTAGCTAAAGCCAACTTTCAAGTTAATACTGATAAATGTTCCATTGCTGTTCAAGAAATCGATTTTTTAAGCCATACAATCAATGAACAATGCATTAAACCTAATGGTGATAAAATTAAAGCTATTGTCGATTTACCAACTCCAAAAACACTTAAAGAAGCAAATGAATTTTTAGGAAAAATTAATTGGTATCGAAAGTTTATTCCTAATTTNCCAGCTCCTACTACTGTAAGTAACTTTTATTGTATATGCTGAGACAAACATTTCACTAATATCTATTTATATTAGATTAGCCGAAGTATTGATAAAATATATGAATTTTATAAGCAACAACTGATAAAATTTTGTAAATCCATGGATAGTTTTTGTGTAATTGTGGATTTTTGGTGTGAATCATTCACAGGTAGGGCAGATCTTTTATGTTGCCAAGAAAAAACATTCTTTTTTTACGTTTTATTATCAGGTTTATCATATTGTGGTATATCACTGAGTCATATTGATCAAGAATTTCAATCATATATGTTTTCACTCGGCTGTTTTCCATACGAAATGGAAAATAAATATGCATCTACTATTCGTTTTTTTGTTAATGGTACATTAAAAACTTTCGGTTTAGCATTGGATTCAGAAAAATTTGTTGTGACTGACAATGAACCAACAATGACATGTACTTTCAATACAGATTGTAAACGTATAGGATGTAGCGATCATTACATCAACAAACAACTTCAACATACGTTTACAACAAAAACAATTGATGGAAAATTAGTTGATTGTGATATAGCACAAGAACTTTTCAATAATGTTAAAATTATTGTTTCAAATATTCGTCGATCACATAAACAACAAAACTTATCTAAAAAATTAATTTTATACTCAGATACACGTTTTAATGGAGCATATGCAATGTTAAATGTATTTTCAAGTATTTTTGATGAATTAGTTCAAATATTAGATTCGAAATTATTAACAACTTATTCTCGTATAAATGATGATTTTTTGCTTGATATATGCAGATTTTTATTACCATTTGATACAGTTATTAAAGGTTTAAGTGATGATCGACGACCGACACTCCATCGTGTGTTACCATTCAAACAGTATTTGATCAAAAAATGTGAAATTGATAATGATGATAATGAAGGTTTCAAACAAGTAAAATGCTTCTTGGGTATGAAGTGTAAAAAAAAAGAATGAACGTACATCTTTTAGTATTTTATTATGTTTTAATATTTAGGCAAACGTTTGGATGAAAAATGGGAACTAACCGATGAACATCTTATTGCGGCAGTACTTCATCCAAACAATAAACATTTACATAAAAGTCCTCATTTGAAAGAACGTGCAATACTTTTATTAAAACAAGAAATGTTTAAACGTCATGACCGTTTTTCATCTACAACTACATCAACTGTTGCCGGTTTACCAGATACATCATCAACAACTTCATCCACATGTTCATCATCAATATCCTCCACATCAGTTACAAAATCTGTTTGTTTAGATGCACGAGATATTTTATTAATGGAAGTATTAGACAAACCACCTTCAGTACCAGAAAAAAAATCATGTTGAAAAAGAATTAGAAAATTATTTAGCATCCACATTGGTAATGGAAGTTGATGAAAAAGACGACATACTCTCATTTTGGAAACAACATTGTTATGTCAGGAGAGACATCTCCTGACATAAGAGGGCTCTCTCTATAATATCACTGCTCTCGTTAATGGCATTCATTCTCGTCCCTCCATGATATCTCTTTGTTCTGAAAATAAACAAGGAGGTATATCATGGAAGAAGAGAGAAAGAGAGAATCACATTCTTTGCTGCTTTTTTTGTTTTGGATTCATTCACTTGTTTGGTTTTAAAAGGAAGGGATAAGAATAATAAAGAAAATGGGTAAAGGACCCTAACAATTTGATGCACTGGCCGGGGTTGTTTATTATTTATATAATTAATGTATGTTAACACGACAAGGTGCCACACGACTCATTGAAACTGAATTTAATCGATTAGCCAAAATTAATATTAATTTTCCTGATCGCACACCAATATCTCCAGTAGTTTATCGTCCAACAGAACTAATCATGGCAGAGAAAACCGTCGCAACACTTTTAAGTAAAACTTTGGAACAGACATCTAAATTTTCTGGTAAACCAGATCAAGATGTTGATGAATGGATGAAGGATCTGACTGCTACATTTTGTATGGCTCATATTACAGAATCACAAGCATTAAAAATAATATCCACATTTTTGGAAGGACATCCTAAGCAATGGTTTATTGAAAATATCACAATATTCGAATCATGGAGTGTATTTAAAGCTCAATTTATTCATACGTATTCATCACCATCATCGAAACAATTAGCGTCTAATCGCTTAAGAACTCGTCAACAACGGCAGGATGAAGCTGTTATCGAATATTATACAGATGTTATGAAATTATGCAAATTAGTTGATCCAAACATGACTGATGTATCCAAACTTGATCATTTATATCATGGATTAAAATCATCTTTAATGAAAGACGTATTACGTGAAGCTCCATCAACACCATCAGGATTTTTAGAACAAGCACGTCGAGAAGAAAATTTAGATCGTCTAGTTACTACGGCTGCTCAACAAACCAATGATAATGATACAGAAGCAACAACTTATTCCAACAACTCATTATATAGATCTCCACAATCTGCTGAATCTATGCACTACCAAAATTCATCAAATATGTATTCTAAGGGTTATTCTGCAAACGTATATTCACCTCGACCGGCATACAATCGATTTTATGATCCATCATCGTCACATTATCCACATCAAGCTCAACAATCTTCGTTTAATGTATTACGCTATCAATCACGCCCTCTACGATGTTATCTTTGTCAGAAGTTGGGCCATGTTGCTCGTGATTGTAGATCCGCAAAAAACTATTAAGGGAGTCAAATGATGGTAGTGCCTCCCACTCATCGCGACCATCATTATTTTCTTCATCAACAAATAATACTTATTCTGTACAAAAACCAAATATATATCGTCGCTTCGTTCCGTTTTCTCGTTATCGTATTAATCGCAACATAATAAAATATCCGACTTACTCGGTACCTCCTCGCAAATCTCTAACAATTCACAACTCTTGACAACATCTCGTTAAATCCAACGAACAACATCATGCCGTAAATCAAACTCTTAAAAAATCCAACCCGTCATTAATTTTTATCAACACTGTCGTCAATGGATCACGTCTACGCGCAATGATCGATACTGGAGCTGCTCATTCATTTATCACTCAAAGTGCATTGAACACATTATATCATTCAGCAGTACCATTATGTGATCATATAGCTCAAGTAGGTGATGGTCAAACCATGCTTAACATAGTGGGTGAAGTTCAATTATTATTGCAATTTAATAAAGTTTTTACGCCTTTAAATGTTCTCGTCGTCAAAACAATGAATACAGATTTTATACTTGGCAGTGATTGGTGTACACAAAATGCAGCAAGAATCGATTATGAAAAAAATCAAGTGTCTATACGTTCATCATATGATTGTATATTTATCCATATAAAAAATGCATTGATTATTTAACTCTCGATGTTAAAACAATCAATGTTATTCATATACCTCCACGTGAAGCATATACTGTTCAAGCCAAAGTAGAATTATCATCAGCTGATACCGTCTACTTCTCGCCTGTTGATGTTACACAATCCGACAAACCTATTGTAATGTCACCATCGTTGTTACACATAGATAATTATACCACATATTTAGAAGTATATAATCCTCATGATTATACCTACACATTACCAATGAATACTCTTCTCGGTCGAGTAACACACACACCGTATCAAATGCATTCATGTTTATCATTTGATATATCTCGTGCATCCTCGTCGTTATCGTCTCAACATCATATTTTTAATACAATTGAACTAGAACAAAAACCTTCTGAAACATCAAACACAATTGATAAATTAATTAATCATATTAAAAATGTCCAAGAGAAGCAACAATTACGTTTAATACTGCAACAGCACATGAACATTTGTGATATTTCGAAAGTTACACAAGCCAACACGCATATTCAACACACTATTAACACCGGTGATAGCCTTCCGATTAGTTCAAGACCATATCCAAGAACAATCGAACAAAGACGTGAACTTCAAGATGAAATCAAAAAAATGACACAAACAAATCAAATTCGTCCATCAAACTCACCTTGGTCATCTCCAGTTATTATTCACAAGAAAAAGGATGGTGGTATTCGATTTTTAGTGGATTGTCGAAAATTAAACTCGGTCACAAAAAAATATTGTTTTCCTCAACCAACAACTGAAGAATTATTGCATCGATTAGGTGGTCATCGTTTTTATACAAAATTAGATCTTAAATCAGGTTATTTTCAACTTCCAATACATGAAACAGACAAAGAAAAAACAGCTTTTATCACACAAGATGGTTTATAGGAGTTCAACGTGCTTCCACAGGGTATTATGAATGGACCACCAACTTTTCAAAGAACTATGCACAATCTTCTTGGTTATGGGCGCTGGGATTATGTTATGGTTTATTTAGATGATATTCTGATATTTTCACGTAGCTTCAATGAACATAAACAACATTTAAACGAAATTTTATCAATACTAGCTAAAGCCAACTTCCAAGTTAATCCTGATAAATGTTCCATTGCTGTTCAAGAAATCGATTTTTTTAAGTCATACAATCAACGAACACTGCATTAAACCTAATGGTGATAAAATTAAAGCTATTGTTGATTTACCAGCTCCAAACACACTTAAAGAAGCAAATGAACTTTTAGAAAAAATCAATTGGTATCGAAAGTTTATTCCTAATTTTGCTCGCATAGCTGCACCATTACACAAAGTTACCAACAAAACAAAACATCATCGACATGAATTTAAATGGGGACCAGATCAACAACAGTCATTTGATGAATTTAAACGTCTTCTGACAACATATCCATTATTTTTAGAATATCCAGATTTATCAACTCCATTTGTTTTAACAACTGATGCCTCAGATATTGGAATAGGTGGAATTTTACGACAAGACACACCGCATGGCACAAAAATTAATTATTTTAAATCACGTGTTTTAGATGATACTGAACGTAAATAGGATACAATTGAAAAAGAAGCATTAGCTATTTTTTGGTGCATATCTGAACTTCGATGATACATAGATGATTCTAATTTTATTGTCGAAACTGATCATAAACCACTTGAAAATTTTCATAACAAACAAATCAATAATAAACNTTGTTTTTTGGATTCATTCGTTTGTTTTTGTGAAGAAAGAAGGAATAAAGAAAACGAGGAAAAGGACCTAACAATTTGGTGCACTGGCCGGAGCTGTTTATTATTGATATAATTAGTATATGTTAACACGAGAAGGTGCAAGACGCCTTATTGAAACTGAATTCCATCGACTAGCCAATATTGATATTAATTTTCCTGATCGTCCATCAATATATCCAATAGTTTCTCATCCAACAGAATTAATCATGGCAGAGAAAACCGTCGCAACACTTTTAAGTAAAACTTTGGAACAAACACCGAAATTTTCTGGTAAACCCGATCAAAATGCTGATGAATGGATGAAGGATTTGACTGCTACCTTTCGTATGGCTGATATGACCGAAGCACAAGCATTAAAAGTAATATCTACATTTTTGGAAGGACATCCTAAGCAATGGTTTATTGAAAATAGTACAATATTCGAATCCTGGAGTGTATTTAAAACTCAATTTATTCATACGTATTCATCACCCTCATCGAAACAATTAGCATCTAACCGCTTAAGAACTCGCCAACAACGACATGATGAAGCTGCTATCGAATATTATACCGATGTTATGAAGTTATGCAAATTAGTTGATCCAACCATGACTGATGCATCCAAACTTGATCACTTATATCACGGACTCAAACCGTCTCTCATGAAAGAAGTATTACGTAGAGCTCCGTCTACACCAGCAGAATTTTTAGAAAACGCCCGACAAGAAGAAAATTTAGATCGTTTAGTTAATACGTCTCTTCAACAAACCACTGATAGTGTTACACAAGCAACAAATTATTCCAACAACTCATTATATAGATCTCCACAAAATGTCGAAACTGCGCACTACCAAAATTCATCACGTATGTATTCTAAAGGCTATTCCGCAAACGTATCCTCACCTCGAACAACATACAATCGATTTCATGATTCATCATAGTCACGTTATCCACCTCAACCGCAATAATCTTCGTTTAATGCATTCCACTATCAATCACGCCTTTTACGATGTTATCTATGTCAGAAATTGGGCCATTTTGCTCGTGATTGTAGATCTGCAAAAAACTACTAAGGGAGTCACATGATGGTAGTGACTCCCACCCATCGCGACCATCATTAGCTTCTTCATCAATAACTAATACTTATTCTATACAAAAACTGCATATCTATCGTCGCTTCGTTCCGTTTTTTCGTTATCGTATTAATCGCAATATAATAAAATATCCGACTTCCTCGGTACCCCCTCGCAAATCTATCACAATTAACAACTCTCGACAACCCCTCGTTAAATCCATCGCACAACGTACTGCCGTAAGTCAAAATATTAGAAAATCCAACCCATCATTAATTTTTATCAATACTCTCATCAATGGATCACGTCTACGGCCTATGATCGACACTGGTGCCACTCATTCATTTATCACTCAAAGTGCCCTGAGCACATTATATCATTCAGTCATACCACCATGTGATCGTACAGCTCAATTAGGTGATGGTCAAACCACGCTTAAATAGTGGGAGAAGTTCAATTATTCTTGCAATTTCACAAAGTTTTTACGCCTCTAACTGTTCTCGTCGTCAAAACAATGAATACAGATTTTGTATTTGGCAGTGATTGGTGTACAAAAAATGCAGCAAGAATCGATTATGAAAAAAGTCAAGTCTCTATACGTTCTTCATGTGGTCGTATATTTATTCCATATCACAAAAGCATTGAATGTTTAACTTTAGATGTCAAATCAATTAATGTTATTCATATACCTCCACGTGAATCATACACTGTTCAAGCCAAAGTCGAAATATCATCAGCTGATACCGTCTACTTTTCGCCTGTCGATCCTATACAATCCGAAAAATCTATTGTCATGTCACCGTCGTTGTTACACATAAATAATTATACCACATATTTAGAAGTATATAATCCACATGATTATACCTACATATTACCAATGAATACTGTTCTAGGTCGAGTAACACACACACCGTATGAAATGCATTCATGTTTTTTATTTGATACATTTCGTGAAACTTCGTCGTTATCGCCTCAACATCATATTTTTAATACAATTGAACTAGAAACAAAACCTTCTGCAACCTCGAACACAATTGATAAATTAATTACTCATATTAAAAATGTTCAAGAGCAACAACAATTACGTTTAATATTACAACAGCACATAAAAATTTTTGATATTTCGAAAGTTACACAAGCCCACACACATATTCAACACACTATTAACACCGGTGATAGCCTTCCGATTACCTCACGACCGTATCCAAGAACCATCGAACAAAGACGTGAACTTCAAGATGAAATCCAAAAAATGACACAAACAAATCAAATTCGTCCATCACATTCATCTTGGTCATCTCCAGTCATTATTCACAAAAAAAAGGATGGTGGTATTCGATTTTTAGTGGATTATCGAAAATTAAATTCGGTGACCAAAAAAGATTGCTTTCCTCAACCAACNTTCTCTATAGAAGATCTAAAATTAACTTTAGAATATGTTGCCTGTTATGTCAGGAGATGTCTCTCCTGACATAAGAGTGCCATCTCTATTGTGATATAACATTATCACATTGGATGGGAACTGTTCTGTTGTTCGTTTTATGATATTCGTTATGATGGATAAATGAAGGTAGAGAATGGAAAAGAGAAAGAGAGAGAATTGCATTCTTTGCTGCTTTTTTGTTTTGATTCATTCGTTTTTTTTGTTTTTTGAAAGAAAGGAGAAAAAGTATAACAAATTGGTGCACTGGCCGGTTTTGTTTCTTGTTCAATTGTGCTGCTGTATGTTAACACGACAAGGTGCATTACGTCTTATTGAAGCAGAATTTCGTCGATTAGCTGACATTGATATTGATCTTTCTGATTGTATACCAGTACATTCTATTGTTTATCGCCCCAACGAATTTATGATGGCAGAAAAAACAGTTGCAGCTTTACTCAGTAAAACTTTAGAACAAATACCTAAATATTCCGGCAAACCGGATCAAGATGCTGATGAATGGATTAAAGAGCTCACCACCACGTTTCGCATGGCTGATATTAATGAATCACAAGCAATAAAAATTATACCCACATTTTTTGAAGGACCTGCTAAACAATGGTTTCTTGAAAATAGCATATCGTTTGAATCCTGGAGCGCATTTAAAGCAGAATTTATTCATACATATTCGTCTCCAGCACTAAAACAACTAGCGTCACATCGATTACGCACTCGTCATCAGCGTATAGATGAACCCGTTATTGAATACTATACTGATATTATGAAATTATGCAAAATAGTTGATCCCAACATGACTGACATGTCGAAAATTGATCATTTATACCACGGTCTGAAATCAGCTTTAATGAAAGAAGTACTACGTCAAGCTCCTCGTACACCATCAGATTTTTTAGAACATGCACGTCAAGAAGAAACTCTCGATCGATTAGTTACAACGTCTGTTAATCACACTGATCACGATAATGCTGGAACTTATGCATCTCACAATACATTCTATCCACATATGGTAGTTGATGATACAGCACACTTCAACAATCCTTCAAATACATATTCCAAGAATCATTCCAACAATGCTTATTCACCACGGTCATCATATTCTAAATCATATTATCAGCCATCACCACACTACCCTTCTCAACCTCAATTGCCACCGTTTAATGCATTAAACCATCAACCACGATCTTTACGATGTTACCAATGCAATAAATTGGGTCATATAGCTCGCAATTGTTGGGTTACAAAAAAATATTAAGGGAGCACAACGATGGTAGTGACTCCCACCCCTTACCACCATCATTTTCTTTCCCCTCCAATACTCTTACTCATCCTGTAGCAAAATCAAAATCCAAAAATATTCGTTCATTTTTACCATATTCACAAAATCGTCAGCAAGTCAACTATATACAACCTTCACATTATTATGACTCAACACACAAATTCGTACCAGATTATTCTCGATCACACTATCTTCAACAACGTACAAAGCAACGCTTTCTTAACCAAACTATTTCACGAATCAATCCTTCATTGATCTTTGTCAACATCATCGTCAATGGCAGACATTTACGTGCTATGATAGATACTGGAGCCACTCGGTCATTTATCACTTAACGTGCTCTTCATACATTACATCATAGCTCAATACAGCCATGTGCTTCTCTAGCTCACTTAGGTGATGGTCACACTACGCTTAAGATATTAGGTGAAGTGCAGTTATTGCTCAAGTTTAACCAGATTTTTACACCTTTGAATGTTCTCGTTGTCAAAACATTAAATACAGACTTTATACTTGGTGGTGATTGGTGTACTCAAAATGCTGCACAAATTAATTATGATACAAATCAAGTTTCTATACGTTCATCTACTGGCCGCATAATTATTCCATATGATAAATCTATTGATCATTTAACCTTAGATGTGAAATTAATTACTTCCATAAAAATACCTCCACGTGAATCCTGTACTGTTCAAGCAAAAGTCGAATTATCTTCCGCTGACACAGTTTATTTTCATCCGGACACTGATGCTCAACACGAACAATCTATCCTGTTATCACCATCTTTGTTACGTATAGAAAATTATACAACATATTTAGAAATATACAATCCTCATGATTATATTACCACATTACCCATGAATACTCGCCTCGGTCGAATCACGCATGTACCTTATCAAGTTATTTCGTTTCAATTACCTGATGCAGTTAATTATTTATCATCATCATCCCATTCTGTTATTAATAGTATTGAACCTCAACCAATTTCTTTTCCACCACGTGCAAACATCGAAAACTTAATTGACCACATTATTGACCCTCAAGAAAAAAACCAAATTCGTATTATTCTAGAACAACATATGAAAGTGTTTGATACTTCACATGTTACACAAGCAAATACACCCATTCAGCACACGATTAATACTGGCGATAGCCTTCCTATTAGTTCCCGACTGTATTCACGAACAATCCAACAACGATCTGATCTGCAAAATGAAATTCATCAAATGTTACAAGCAAATCAAATTCGTCCTTCAAACTCACCATGGTCCTCTCCGGTCATTATTCATAAAAAAAAAGATGGTGGTATTCGTTTTTTGGTGGATTATCGGAAGCTCAATGCTGTTACAAAAAAGGATTCTTTTCCTCAACCAACAACTGAAGAACTATTAAATCGGTTAGGAGGTCGTAAATTTTATACAAAATTAGATCTTAAATCAGGTTATTTTCAAATTCCCATTCATGAAGCCGATAAAGAAAAAACTGCTTTCATCACACAAGATGGTTTCTGGGAATTCAATGTTCTTCCACAAGGTATCATGAATGGGCCACCAACCTTTCAACGCATTATGCACAATTTACTCGGTTATGGGCGCTAGGATTACGTGCTGGTGTATTTAGATGATATATTAATATTCTCCACAACTTTTGCTGAGCATATCCAACATTTAAACCAAATTTTATCACTACTAGATAAAGCAAATTTTCAAGTTAATTCTGACAAATGTTTTATTGCTGTTCGTGAAATCAATTTCTTAAGTCACACAATCAATGAACAATTAATAAAACCTAATGGTGAAAAAATCAAAGCTATAACTGATTTACCAGCTCCCACAACGCTCAATGAAGCAAATGAATTCTTAGGAAAAATCAATTGGTATCGAAAATTCATTCAAATTTTGCTCGTATTGCTGCACCGTTACATAAAGTTACTAATAAAACAAAAGCTCGTCGGCATGAATTTACCTGGGGTCCTGAACAACAAGCTGCATTTAACGAATTTAAACACATTTTAACCACATATCCATTATTTTTAGAATATCCGGATTTATCAACTCCATTTATATTAACGACTGACGCATCGGATATTGGTATTGGTGGTATTTTACGACAAGATACTCCACATGGTACAAAAATCAATTATTTCAAATCACGTGTATTAAATGATACTGAACACAAATACGATACATTTGAAAAAGAAGCTCTGGCTATTTATTGGTGTCTTACTGAACTTCGATCATATATAGGTGATTCCGATATTATTGTTGAAACTGATCATAAACCACTTGAAAATTTTCATAAAAAGCAAATTAATAATAAACGTGTGATGAATTGGCTATTTAAATTACAAGATATTTTGCCACAAATCGTTGCAGTCAAATATCGTAAAGGTGCCAACAATACAGCGGCTGATTACATTTCGAGACACTTTCCATCTTCAGTTATGATTAATGATTCTACAATTATCGTTCAAGAAACTGATGACTGGCCTATTGGTACTGAATCATGGTCCGAAGACTTGGCAAAACCTCAACGATCCGACTTTGCTACACCATTCATCAACACACACAATTTAAAAATTAATGCTGTTACAACGCGCGCACAAGCTAAACTTCTCGCTCAGCCGATACCACCTACATCGACTCATCCATCAATCACCACACAACAATCTTCAACTTCATCTTTAACATCAGCTAATCTACCCTATGATTTTAGTCTATCACGTATACGCTTTGAACAAGAACATGACCCGGTCATTAGAACAATAATACAAAATATTCATAACAAACAAGATAACTCTACATTTATTCTGAAAAATGATGTTCTCTATAAATTAGTTTCTCGAGGATGAACCAATATCAAAGTAATTTATGCTCCGTCGAAACTAATTCCTGAACTACTCAAATCACATCACGATCATCCTTTAAGTGGTCATTTTGGTGTTGAACGGACATGGTTTCTGTTGAAAAATAAGTACTACTGGCCACATATGAAAGCTGTTATTATATCTTATATAAAATCATGCACGGAATGTTCGAAATACAATGTTGATCGTCATAAACCTCCTGGATTTTTACAACCAATTGAACCACCTGCCGACGTTTTTCAAATATTAGGTATGGATTGGTGGGGGCCTGTTCAAACTTTAATTGATGGAAACCGCTACATATTGGTTATCACAGATCGATTATCCGGTTACGTTTTTGCTACTGCATCACCAACAAATACTGCTCAAGATACAGCACGTATTCTATTTGAAGAAGTAATATTAACTCATGGACCTCCTGACATAGTTATCACGGACCAAGGAACACACTTCAACAATGAGTTACTACAAGCTGTTATTAACTTAATCGGTAGCAAACATATTTTTTCAACACCGTACCATCCACAAACGAATGGACAAACTGAACGGTGGAATTCAACATTTGCTACACAACTTGCTAAATTTTGTAATGATGACCACAATAATTGGGATACCTATTTACCATCTATTGTTTATGCTTACAATCATGGCATTCACCATTCTAGTGGATTCACACCTTATCAACTGGCATTCGGTCGAAGACCACGCAATCCATTTGATCCTCCACAATCAGTTTTTATTTCAAAAAACCACATGATTATTACACGCAAATCCTTAAATATCGAAGTATTGCATTAAAGCAGGCGAAAGACAATATTATACATCAGCAGCTCTTATCAAAACGGCGTTTCGACAAAAATCGATTACATCCAACCTACAACATCAATGATCTCGTATGGATGAAAATTTCCTCGGGCAGAACTAAACTTGATGCTCGATATACTGGTCCTGTTCGAATAGTTCAAATCCTTTCCCCAGTTTCATATATTGTTGAAGCTCACGATCTCCAACGATTTCAAGTACACGCGAACAACATCAAACGTGTTTATCCCCGTTAATATTTCACGCCTTCGCTGATTTTCTTATCATAATATTCAACAATGTTCCCGCGTACATAATCGCACGCTTTCCTTTTAATTCCGTTCTTATCAATGTTACATACGGCTTTCAATCAAATTACTTCAATAAGATTAAAAAAAAATACTATCTGAATCTCGTCTTATACTTCGTTGCTACGTTTCTTCGGTTCACTACATTCTATTATTCTCGAAACGTCTCACACACGTTACTCATTCTATTATTTTATATTCTGTTATACAACCTTTGATATGGCTGCATTCTTCAATATATTTCTGTTCATCATGGTGCTCAATGCTAATGGTGGCGTTCTGGACAATCACATCACGGTGAATTTTGAAACAAAATATGATAACAATCATAATGAAATTAAACAACTCTTGTCTCAATCTAAATCTTTTGATAAAAGCAACTGGACCCATTATGTTCTTTTATTACAACCTATTGTGGCAGGTTTATTCCTCATAGTTGGACTTATGTATGCTTATCGTCGTTGCTGGCCAATATTACAGTTAGCTTGTCGCCTACAGAAGACAAAGCAATCCCTCTTACAGGGACCCAAATCAGCATCACCAAATTGTCAACCACCTTATGCTTACAACCCTCACAACTCTTGTCCTCTACCGATTGAACAATACACTTCCTCAATAGTTCCACCTAAAAGCAACGCAACAATACCATTATATCCAGCAGCTACCGCACTAGTCTCATAAACAATCCTCTTTCTGCTCATTCATCTCCAGCACTATCGTTTTCTCTTGCTATCACATCGCTTCAATTTGTATTTCTAGCAATTTTTCCATTAATATTAAATCAATTTTCTGTTATTCACTTGTGCTGTCCGTATCACAATCTGCATTTTATATATTTTTTATTTTATTTCTCGTGATTTGTTTTCTTTCTCACTTATGCTTAGTTATATCTTTACTTGTTCTACAGTATGATTCTTCTCGCTGGGGGGAGATGTTATGTCAGGAGATGTCTCTCCTGACATAAGAGTGCCATCTCTATTGTGATATAACATTATCACATTGGATGGGAACTGTTCTGTTGTTCGTTTTATGATATTCGTTATGATGGATAAATGAAGGTAGAGAATGGAAAAGAGAAAGAGAGAGAATTGCATTCTTTGCTGCTTTTTTGTTTTGATTCATTCGTTTTTTTTGTTTTTTGAAAGAAAGGAGAAAAAGTATAACATTGCCGATGGAATTGTGATCAGGTATGCGTAATTTTATTGTTGATCCTAAATATAGAAAAGCTTTTCGTCATCGTAAGCATGGTGGTCGAGAATTAGATCGTGGATTAACAGCTATGGAGTGTTTGAAAGATATTATAGAATTCGTGAATGGTCTTTGTGAAGTATTTATAGATAGTGGCATATGAAGCGAAACCGATGCGTTGAAATGTTTAGCTTTTGGTCCGAACGTTGTTCTTTGTGACTGTCCCATATTGTATAGTATGGCATGTTGTTAGCGTTTGCAGATGTCGTTAACAGACGCTAAACGTCTAACACTATATCTTCCTTCATTCTGATTGTTCTTGTTCTGTTACGTCATATTGGTCAATCAACTCACGTGATTGATTTTCCAATATATATGTATATATATCATTAGTTTTTCTAACGTCGTCATTTTTTTCCCTCTCTTTTTGTTTTCTTTTTTAACTTCTATTACGTCGTTCGTCTTCAACGACTTTATTTAAATATATTCTGATCAAACATATACCTATTTGAACGAGCTACATAATCAATTATTTTATGTAAGCTCATTTAATATATTTAATATAGTAAAGTTCAGCTCTAAGTATTAGCATCCCCTTAATTAGAGCTAACACCCACACCCAGATCCTTTCATACTTAGGTCTGACCAAAAGTTCTGCAATTTAAAAAAAAAAAGTTAAAGAAAAAGAGAAAGTTCGAGTTTTATTTTATTAAATGTTCAAAATAGTCCCCATGATTATTTATACAAAGTTCCATCCTTTCTAACAGTTTGTCGAAAGTTTTTTTATATTCTTCTTCAGGAATATTTTTNCATCGATTAGCCAATATTGATATTAATTTTCCTGATCATACACCAATAAATCCAATAGTTTCTAATCCAACAAACTTAATAATGGCAGAGAAAACCGTCGCAACACTTTTAAGTAAAGCTTTGGAACAAACACCGAAATTTTCTGGCAAACCCGATCAAGATGCTGATGAATGGATGAAGAATTTGACTGATACATTTCGTATGGCTGATATGACAGAAGCACAAGCATTAAAAATAATACCTACATTTTTGGAAGGACATCCTAAGCAATGGTTTACTGACCATAGTACAATATTCGAATCCTGGAGTGTATTTAAAGCTCAATTTATTCATACCTATTCATCACCCTCATCGAAACAAATAGCGTCTAACCGCTTAAGAACTCGCCAACAACGACATGATGAAGCTGCTATCGAATATTATACCGATGTTATGAAATTATGCAAAATAGTTGATCCAACCATGACTGATGCATCCAAAATTGATCATTTATATCACGGACTCAAACCGTCCCTAATGAAAGAAGTCTTCCGTAGAGCTCCATCCACACCAGCAGAATTCTTAGAACAAGCACGACAAGAAGAAAATTTAGACCGTTTAGTTAATACGTCTTTTCAACAAACCAATGCTAGTGATACACAAGCAACAAACTATTCCAACAACTCATTATATAGATCTCCACAAAAATTTGAAACTGCGCACTACCAAAATTCATTACATATGCATTCTAAAGGTTATTCCGCAAACGTATACTCACCTCGAACAACATACAATCGATTTCATGATCCATCATCGTCACGTTATCCACCTCAAACTCAACAATCTTCGTTTAATGCCTTACACTATCAATCACGCCCTTTACGATGTTATCTATGTCAGAAATTGGGACATATTGCTCGTGATTGTAGATCTGCAAAAAACTATTAAGGGAGTCAAATGATGGTAGTGACTCCTACCCATCGCGACCATCACTATTTTCTTCATCAATAAATAGAACTTATTCTGTACAACAACCACATATCTATCGTCGCTTCGTTCCTTTTTTTCGTTATCATACTAATCGCAACATAATCAAATACTCGACTTCCTCGGTACCCCCTCGCAAATATATTACAATTAACAAACCTCGACAACCGCTCGTTAAATCCATCGCACAACAAAATGCCATAAATCAAACCGTTACAAAATCCAACCCGTCATTAATTTTTATCAACACTCACATCAATGGATCACGTTTACGTGCTATGATCGATACTGGTGCTACTCATTCATTTATCACTCAAGGTGCCCTTAGCACATTATATCATTCAGCTATACCCCCATGTGATCGTATAGCTCAATTAGGTGATGGTCAAACCACGCTTAAAATAGGGGGTGAAGTTCAACTATTCTTGCATTTTAATAAAGTTTTTACGCCTTTAAATGTTCTCGTCGTCAAAACAATGAATACAGATTTTATACTTGGCAGTGATTGGTGTACAAAAAATGCAGCAAGAATCGATTATGAAAAAAATCAAGTGTCTATACGCTCTTCATATGGTCGTATCTTCATTCCATATCACAAATGCATTGATTGTTTAACTTTAGATGTCAAATCAATTAATGTTATTCATATACCNCAATTTATTCATACGTATTCATCACCCTCATCGAAACAATTAGCGTCTAACCGCTTAAGAACTCGCCAACAACGACATGATGAAGCTGCTATCGAATATTATACCGATGTTATGAAATTATGCAAATTAGTTGATCCACCCATGACTGATGCATACAAACTTGATCACTTATATCATGGACTCAAACCGTCCCTAATGAAAGAAGGCTTCCGTAGAGCGCCATCCACACCAGCAGAATTTTTAGAACAAGCACGACAAGAAAAAAATTTAGATCGTTTAGTTAATACGTCTTTTCAACAAATCAATGATAGTGATACACAAGCAACAAACTATTCCAACAACTCATTATATAGATCTCCACAAAAATTTGAAACTGTGCACTACCAAAACTCATCACATATGCATTCTAAAGGTTATTCCGCAAACGTATACTCACCTCGAACAACAAACAATCGATTTCATGATCCATCATCGTCACGTTATCCACCTCAAACTCAACAATCTTCGTTTAATGCATTACACTATCAATCACGCCCTTTACGATGTTATCTATGTCAGAAACTGGGGCATATTGCTCGTGATTGTAGATCTGCAAAAAACTATTAAGGGAGTCAAATGATGGTAGTGACTCCCACCCATCGCGACCATCACTATTTTCTTCATCAATAAATCGAACTTATTCTGTACAACAACCGCATATCTATCGTCGCTTCGTTCCGTTTTTTCGTTATCGTACTAATCGCGACATAATAAACTACCCGACTTCTTCGATACCCCCTCGCAAATATATCACAATTAACAAACCTCGACAACCGCTCGTTAAATCCATCGCACAACATAATACCCTTAATCAAAATATTAAAAAATCCAACCCTTCATTAATTTTTATCAACACTCTCATCAATAGATCACGTTTACGTGCTATGATCGATACTGGTGCCACTCATTCATTTATCACTCAAGGTGCCCTTAGCACATTATATCATTCAGGCATGCCCCCATGTGATCGTATAGCTCAATTAGGTGATGGTCAAACGACGCTTAAAATATTGGGTGAAGTTCAACTATTCTTGCAATTTAATAAAGTTTTTACGCCTTTAAATGTTCTCGTCGTCAAAACAATGAATAGGGATTTTATAGTTGGCAGTGATTGGTGTACAAAAAATGCAGCAAGAATCGATTATGAAAAAAATCAAGTGTCTATACGATCTTCATATGGTCATATATTCATTCCATATCACAAAAGCATTGATTGTTTAACTTTAGATGTCAAATCAATTAATGTTATTCATGTACCTCCACGTGAATCATACACTGTTCAAGCCAAAGTCGAATTATCATCAGCTGATACCGTCTACTTCTCGCCTGTCGATCCTATACAATCCGAAAAATCTATTGTCATGTCACCTTCGTTGTTACACATAAATAATTATACCACATATTTAGAAGTATATAATCCACATGATTATACCTACACATTACCAATGAATACTCTTCTAGGTCGAGTAACACACNGGGGATGGGGGGGGGGGGGGGGAGGCACTACCATCATGGTACTCCCTTAATAGTTTTTTGGAATTCGACAGTTACGGGAAGTATGACCAAATTTAAAACAACGATAACATTGCACCGAACGAGATGGATTGTGAAAAGTAGTAGATGAAGAAGTTCGAAAGGGTTGTTGAACACGAGGAAACGATGATGTTGATGGATATCCACGCGGAGACGAAACAGGAGAACGAAGATTGTATGAAGTTGGATAAAGATGTTGTTGATGGGGCTGTAAGGGGGCCGATGATGGATAAGTAGGTGTGCTGTTGATGGAGGTATCATTAATGGCTGTTGAGTTGATCGACATACCGACAAAACGATCTAAAGCCTCTTCTTGACGAGCATATTCTAAGAATGCTGTTGGTGTGGAAGGTGCTTGTCGTAAGACTTCTTTCAGTAAAGATGGCTTCAAGCCATGATAGAGATGATCAAGTTTTGAAACATCAGTCATGTTAGGATCAATAATTTTGCATAATTTCATAACATCGGTATAATACTCAATAACTGGTTCATCATAATGTTGTTGACGATGGCGTAAACGATTCGATGCGAGTTGTTTAAGAGTTGGAGATGAATATGTATGTAGAAATTCAGATTTGAAGGTGTTCCAGGATTCAAATGCAGCAATGTTCTCATTAAACCATAACTTAGCAGGACCTTCTAAGAATGTTGGTATTATTTTGAGAGCTTGTGATTCAGTAATGTCAGCCATACGAAATGTAGTAGTAAGATCTTTGAGCCATTCATCTACGTCTTGATCAGGTCGACCAGAATATTTAGGTGTTTCTTCTAAAGTTTTAGTAAGTAAAGTGGAAACTGTTTTTTCGGCCATGACGAATTCGAGAGGACGATAAAAAACTGGAGTGAAGGAGTGTGTATCTGAGAAATTAATATCAATATCAGCTAATCGGTGAAATTCAGCGTCAATAAGTCGTGCAGCTCCCTGACGTGTTAGCATACAGTAGAAAGTTGAACATAAATTCGGAACCGGCCAGTGCACCAATTTGTTAGAGTTTTGTAGATTTTCTTCTCTTCGATTTATTATCCCTTTTTACAAAAACAAAAAAAACGAACGAACGAAAAAAACAAACAAAACAAGAAGGAATGTATATCCTTTCTTTGCTTCCATTATATAATATTAATAGCCTCTTATGTCAAGAGATGTCTCTCTTGACATAACAATTAGTAATGGAATCGAATCAACAACTTTCATTCTTAGATGTACTTATAATTAGAACATTAAACAATTTTGAAACAACAATTTATCGCAAACCTACAAACAACCCCTCATTACAATCGTCGTACAAAACAACCATCAATGTGCTCTTCAATTTTAGACCTTCCTGCTTCAACTTCATACCCATCCAATCCTGTACTCTCACCACCAACTAATTCACCATCACGAATCACCGTCAAACATCAAATTACTCAAGCCAACCCTTCATTAATATTCATCAATACCACCATTAATGGGAAACGTTTACGTGCTATGCTTGATACTGGTGCTACTAATTCGTTCATTACTCAACGTGCATTAAAACAATTATACCATTCAACAATATCCTATTGTACTCGTCGAGCTCAATTAGGTGATGGTCATACGACACTTCAGATTACTGGTGAAGTTCAATTACCACTTCAATTCGCTTCTGTTATTACACCATTGAAGGTTCTTGTTGTTAAAAATATGAACTCTGACTTTATCCTCGGCAGTGACTGGTGTACACAAAATTCTGCACGCATCGATTATGCAAACCAACACGTATCTATTCGTTCACCACGAGGACGTTTATTTATTCCATATGATAAAGCTATTGATTATATTGCCTTAGATGTTAAAACCATTAATGTTGTTAAAATTCCACCACGTGAATCCTGTACTGTACAAGCAAAAATTGAATTGTCTTCAGCTGATGCCGTTTATTTTTCACCTCTTGATGCTCTTCAATTAGACCAACCTATTATAATGTCACCATCGTTACTTCATGTTAAAAATTACACCACACATTTGGAAATATACAATTCTCATGATTATACCTGTACATTGCCTATGAATACTATTCTTGGTAGAGCAACACACACGCCATCTTCAATTGATTCTTTTATTTTATTTGATCCAGCTAATCACTCATCACCATCATCCGTATCATCACAGTACGCTCTCAATACCATAACATCAGACAACCCACCCCCTCAATTACTTGCAACAGTCGACAAATTACTTCATCATCTCACCGATCCACAACATACACAACAACTTCGTCATATTTTACAGCAATATCTAACAATATTTGATATTTCAACACCTACCCAAGCAAACACCCCAATTCAACATACCATTAATACTGGTAATAATCCACCTATTAGCTCCCGTCCATATCCACGCACACCTCAACAACGACGTGAACTTCAAGCTGAAATCCACAAGATGTTACAAACCAATCAAATTCGTCCATCCAATTCTCCCTGGTCATCTCCCGTTATCATTCACAAGAAAAAAGACGGTAGTGTCCGTTTCCTGGTCGACTATCGCAAATTAAATTCAGTCACAAAAAAAGATTCTTTTCCACAACCAACAACTGAAGAATTGTTACAACGACTCGGTGGTCATCGTTTTTATACAAAATTAGATTTAAAATCCGGTTACTTTCAAATTCCCATCCATGAAGCTGACAAAGAAAAAACAGCATTTGTCACCCAAGATGGTCTATGGGAATTTAATGTGCTTCCACAAGGAATTATGAATGGACCACCCACCTTTCAACGTATTATGCACAATCTTCTTGGTTACGGACGCTGGGATTATGTTATGGTTTATTTAGATGATATCTTAATATTTTCTCGTACATTTGATGAACATAAACAACATTTAAACGAAATATTATCACTATTACATGCAGCCAACTTCCAAATTAATCCTGCCAAATGTTCTATTGCCGTTCCAGAAATTGATTTTTTAAGCCATACAATCAACGAACATCTCATCAAACCAAATGGTGATAAAATTAAAGCTATTATTGATTTACCAACACCTCAAACTCTTAAAGAAGCTAATGAATTTCTCGGGAAAATTAATTGGTATCGCAAATTCATCCCAAATTTTGCTGTTATAGCTGCACCCTTACACAAAGTTACTAACAAAACAAAATCGCATAGACATGAATTCACATGGGGCCCCAATCAACAGAAAGCATTTGAAGAATTTAAACGTATTTTAACATCATCTCCATTATTTTTGGAATACCCAGACCCTTCTACTCCATTTATTTTAACAACAGACGCTTCAGATGTTGGAATTGGTGGCATCCTCCGACAAGACACTCCACGTGGTACAAAAATTAATTATTTTAAATCACGTGTTTTGGGTGATACTGAACGCAAGTATGATACATTTGAAAAAGAAGCTTTAGCGATTTATTGGTGCATCACGGAACTTCGTCCTTATCTTGGTGATTCTAACTTCCTTATTGAAACTGATCACAAACCACTTGAAAATTTCCATCTTAAACAAATTAATAACAAACGCGTTATGAATTGGCTTTTCAAGTTGCAAGACATGTTACCACAAATCATTGCTGTTAAATATCGCAAAGGTGCCAATAATACTGCTGCTGATTATATTTCACGCCATTTTCCTTCTAACCAAACAGAAAATATTTCTTCATCCAGCCCTACTGACTCATGCGACGATTGGCCTCTCGGTTCCCAACATTGGGTTGAACACTCACCGAAACCACAACGTTCACAATTTATTCAATCTGATTCGTCACACAACACCTTGTATCCGGATAATCCAATGACAATGCAAGTTAACGCTGTTACAACACGAGCACAAGCAAAACGTCTTCAACAATCATCACCAATCCCTACCTCACCGACCACAACTCCATCAAATAACCCTTCGAGCTCAACACTGTCTAATCCATTACATGATTTCAGTTTAACCAGAATCAAATCTGCACAAGAACAAGATTCAAATATTCAATCAATAATTCAAAAAATCCGCAACCATACCAACAAACAACCATTTTCATTTGAACACGACCTTCTCTATAAGTTAGTTCCACGTGGTAACACATACGTTAAACTACTTTATGCACCTGCAAAACTAATTCCAGAACTACTGGCTGCATATCACGATCATCACCTGAGTGGTCATTTCGGTGTTGATCGTACATGGCGTACGCTAAAAAATCTTTATTTTTGGCCTCAAATGAAACAAACAATAGCACGTTATATCCAATCATGTACTCAATGTTCGAAATTTAATATTAGTCGTTGTAAACCACCTGGACTTTTACAGCCTATTGAACCACCAAGTGAAGTCTTTCAAATTTTAGGTTTGGATTGGTGGGGACCTACCACTCCTTCACATAATGACAATCGTTATGTTTTAGTTATAACTGATCGACTCTCTGGTTATGTCTTTGCCAAAGCTTCACCCACAAACACCGCTCATGACACTGCTCGCATCCTCATGGAAGAAGTTATTTTAGTTCATGGTCCCCCGGATATTATTATTACAGATCAAGGAACACACTTCAACAACGAATTAATAAATGCTGTTTCGAATTTAGTCGGTTGTACACATGTTTTTTCTACACCATATCACCCACAAACCAATGGTCAAACTGAACGTTGGAATGCCACATTTGTAGCTCAAATTGCTAAATTTTGCAATGCCGAACATGACAATTGGGATCTATTTTTACCATCTGTAGTTTACGCATATAATCACGGTGTTCATCAATCAACGGGCTTCACACCTTACCAACTTGCCTTTGGTCGTCAACCACGTAACTCGTTTCAACCTCCGACAACTACATTCAAATTCACTAAACCACATGACTACTGGACTCAAATTATGCAATATAGAAATGTAGCGTTAAAACAAGCAAAAAACAATATTATACATCAACAGCAGCTCACTAAACGTCGTTTTGATAACAATCGATCGCATCCACAATTTCTACCCGGTGATCTAGTCTGGATGAAAAATTTAGTCGGACGTAACAAACTCGATGCTCGCTATTCGGGCCCCGTTACAATTGTCCAAGTTCTCTCGCCGGTGTCTTTTATTGTTGAGGACAAAAATTGTCAACGATTCCAGGTCCATTCTAACACTATCAAACGTGTATATTCTCGCGATCAAGTTGTGCCCTGGTGAAAATTTTCTCCTACTATCGTATCAGATGATTATTACATATCTACACGTCATTTATTATTATTATTTTTTTTGCATTTCACTTCACATTGTATCATATTTCAATTTTAGGGTGTGGGTGTGGGTGTGGGGTGTGGGTGTGGGTGGGTGTGGGTGTGGGGGGTGGGTGTGGGTGGGTGTGGCTGTGGGTGTGGGGGTGGGTGTGGGTGTGGGTGTGGGTGTGGGTGGGGTGTGGGGGTGAGTGGGAGGGGAGGAGGTGGGG